AAAGGGAGGGGGTGGGGGAAGAGAAATACAGTCAATGTACCAAAAAGAATTGGTCAATGTTCAGTCATTTCACGAGGTAGCATAGGATCAAGGTCCGATGTACTGGAGGAAGAAGTCCAAGGTGCACTGAAGGCATTTGCAAAAATCTAGGCTTCAGGAATTGATGGAACACAAATTGAAATCTTTCAACAAACTGATGCAGCACTGGAGGTACTCACTCATCTCTGCCAAGAAATTTGCAAGACAGGTACCTGGCAAAGCAATTGAAAGAGATCCATATTTGTGCCCATTCCAAAGAAAGATGGCTCAATGGAATATCATTAATATCACAGGCAATTAAAATGTTGTTAGAGATCATTCAAAATGGTTCCAAGAGTACATCCACAGGGAGCTTCCAGCAGGGAAAGGAGACGTGTGCTGGTGGCCGGACACAGGGTGTGCCCTTTGGTTATTTAAATTATTGTACACTCCTGAGTGTTTCGGTGCACATTTCAACAACAACAACAAAAAAAAAAAATCCAGAGGGAATAGAAGCAAATACTGTTGAATGATGAAGCATGGAGGGGATTGTAATCATTGCAATGAAATGAACTGATGTTCCGTCATGTAAACTATCACTCAATTCACAATAAAAACTTGAAGAAGAAAAAAGAAAACCAACCCAGGGAGCTTCCAGGCACTCAAGCCAGATTCAGAAGAGAATGTAGAATGATGGTGTTAGGTGGATCTTGACTGAAAGCAGAAAATACTAGAAAGATATTTACTTGTGCCTTACTGACTCTGCAAAGCATTTGACTATATGGATCATAACAAACTATAGATAGAATTGTGAAGAATGGGTGTTCCAGGACATTTAATTTTGCTCTTGAGGAACCTGTACATAGACCAAGAAGCAGTCATTCAACAGAACAAGGAAACACTGAATGGTTTAAAGTCAGGAACAGTGTTTGTCAAGATTACATTCTTTCAATCTGTATGCTGAGCAAATAATTCTATTAAGAAGAATATGACAGTTTTACCAAACATTCAAGGAAGAGCTGTCACCAATGTTACTCAAATTATTCCAGAATATATAAGAGGATGGAAAACTCCCTAATACATTGTATAAAGCAAGCATAACCCTCATACCAAAACCAGGGAAGGACATCACTAAGAAAGAAAATTATAGACCCTCCCTCATGAACATAGATGCAAACATTCTCAACAAGAAGAGTACGGCAACAGGATTGGAGGAAGATTCATTAACAACCTGCATTATGCAGCGAACACAGACTTCCTTACTTGAAACAAAGAGAACTTGAAGTCCTTACTGATGAAGATCAAAGATTACAGCCTTTAGTATATATTGTACATCAGTGTAAAGAATACTAAAATTCTCACAGCTGGCCCAATAAACAACATCATGATCAATGCAGAAAAGATTGAACCTGTCCAGGATTTCATTTTACTTGAATCTACAATCAATGTTCATGGAAGCAGCAGTCAAGAAATCAAATGACATATTGCATTGGGCAAATCTGTTTCAGAAGACCTCTGTGAAGTGTTCAAGAGCGATTCAGACACAAACCATGGTCATTTTGGTTGCCTCATATATATGTGAAAGCTAGACAAATGAAGGAAGACCCAAGAAGAATTGATGCATTTGAATCATGGTGTTGCCAAAGAATATTGAAAGTACTGCAGACTGTCAGAAGAATAAACAAATCTGTGTTGGAAGAAGTACAGCCAGAATGCTTCCTAGAAGTGAGGGTCAGAATCGACTCAATGACATCTAACAACAACAAACAGAAAAATTGTCTAGCTTCCATGTTCTCAACAAAGAAACAGATAAAACCATTTTACAACACTTGATAAATCTTAGATCTCAAAAGCAAAGTTATAACCTAGCTCTATCAGCCCAAAACTTGATTTGAGTCAAATCAAGCCTCTAAATCTAACTGGTAGTTTTCCAAAACACACAATAGAATAACAGAATGTTCAGCATACCCAGGGGGATGCCATTGACAATGAGAAACTGTGGGACCAAACCCCCACTCTGTCAACAAATAAATCTCATGACAACACAAGAAAGAGAAACCTGGGACTGTGTCCTTGTGAGCCAGTCTCACTATGCAGGCCTTGTTTGGATTATTAATCAGGCAATGTTTCCAATATACAGTCAGTCCCCACATACAAATGCCCGGATTAAGGACAACTCCTACTTAACCTTGAATGTAGACTTTGAATCAATTCTCTCATGGCCAACAAAGCAAACCCGAAGGTTTCCCATTTGGATGATTTATCATGGTAACCGGAATGAGAAAAATTACAGATGGAAGCCCTAAAAGGAGTGACTCAGAAGAGATGTGTAAGGAGCCCTTCAGGAGCCTGATTCGAGAGATTGGATTATTGACAGGATTCTGGAGAACCACACACATGTAAAGCATGGCCACCATCTTTGAGCAGGATGCAGCCATATTTGAGAAGGGCACCACCATCTTTGAAGTTCAGCTCATTATGTAAGTCTGCCCTCACTTTGAAGTGATTGAGCCAACCCTGGCGTTGTTGTTAAGTGCCTTTGAGTCCGTTCCAACTCATAGCAACCCTGTATAAGATTTCCAAGGAGTGGCTGGTCGTATTTGAACTGCCGACCTTACGTTTGGAAGGGCAGTGCTGATCTTTCAGCACCACACAACCCCTGGTGGTGGTGGTGGTGTGCTGCGTTGTTGGTTCCAACTCATAGCGACCCTGTACAGGGTTTTGGAGGCTGTAAGTCTTTATAGGAGCAGAAAACCTCATCTTTGTCCCATGGAACGGCTGGTAGTTTCAAACTGCTGACCTTGGAGTTAACAGCTCGACTCGTATCTTCATCAGAGTCCCCATCACTTGCTGCACACACAGCTTTTAAATCACTGGAAAGCCTTCAGGCCTTTTCTTGCACTAAAGTCCAGGCAAATTCATATTTTATTCTTCAGATTTGCTGCAGTGTCAGCGTTACAGATATCTATTATTATTAGTATTATTGTGAATTGAGTGACAGTTTACAGAGCAGATCTGTTTTCTGTTCAACAGTTTGTACACATTTTGTTTCACATCCTGGGTTATGGTCCCCACAGTGTTACCTCACTCATCCCACGTCCTTCCAGTGTTTCCTGTTTCCACTCTTCCTTTCCTAACCCTTCTGAACTGGGTCCTTGGGTACATGCTGCCTCTCTGATCTCAAATGGTTGATGATTTGAAGGTATATTTATCTAGCTAATGTTATTGTTCACTTTGTAGACCTGACTGTTGTTGGGCTGAAATTTGAGCCCCAGAGTTCAGTTCTGGACATGAAGGATGACTAAGGGCCATGGTCTTGGGGGTTGTTAATTTAATTATCTTTGTGTGTATGTGTGTGACATGTGTGTATGTGTGTGACAGTATACACAGTAAAGGACACACTATCTCAGCATGGTGTTGATGACATTCAAGGTACGCCACCAACCTCACTCTCTTCTTCCAAACCCTCGGCCGCCATGAGCATCAGATCTCTGCTCCCAAGATTCAGCTAAACTTTTGAGCTGCACTTGCCAATTTGATCCCATGCAGATAATTCTTTAAACAAGTCTGGTGCCAAGGAGGCTCTGATAAAGAGCTACAGAGGCTGACCTGATGCCACCTCCAACCCCTTGTTGGAAATTCTTACCTCATTTGATCTCATTGATGAATATAGTATTTCTGCTTACACATTTGCTTACTCACCCAGAAGTGTAGTTCAGGCACTAGACAGACCCTTTTGAATAGATCACCTAATGTTTGAGCATCCTCTGCCTTCTGCATCTGCGTGTTCTGTTATGTCAAATATATGAAGAATGAACTGGGTTGGGTTCCTCTGTCTCTCTGGCTCTCTCCCTCCCCTTGTGTTAGTTCAATTCATGGCAACTCTGTACAGAATTTCTGAGGCTATAAATCTTTACAGGAGCAGAATGCCTCATCTTTCTCCCGTGGAACAGCTGGTTGTTTTGAACTGCTGACCTTGCAGTTCGCAGCCCGATTCGTAACCACTACACTACCAGAACACCAGCTCTAGGGGAGGCTTTCTTTCTCTCTTGATTCTTGCGGGGGAGGTCCTGGTCTCCTTTCAGCATCTATAGGCCCAGCATTGCTTGGAGATCTCTGTGCGTCTTGGCACCAACCTTCCCCCAAACCTAGGAGCTTCACAGTCCAGGGACCTCAGGCCCAAAGGGCGTACTCCACGCTTGACTGGTCTCTGTCTGCTGACTGCTCTCTTCTTTTATCTTTATCAGATAAAAGGTGTTGCAGGCCACACCCCTGAGAAAACTCCCCTAATCAAGGCTGTGATGGGAGTAAAGGTATTGCATTGTTGTTGTTGTTGTTGTTGTTGTTGAGTAGGTTCTGACTTATATCATTGTTGTTAAGTGCCTTCGAGTCAGTTCCAACTCATAGCGACCCTGTATAGGGTTTCAGAGGAACAGCTGGTGCATTTGAACCGCTGACATTGTTCTAAACCACCTTGCAGTCCAGTGCTTTATCCTACAGCGCCACACCAGGACTCAAACTCATATAGATATATAGGGTTCCCGAGGAGTAGCTGGTGGGTTTGAACCACGGACCTTGCAGTTAGCAGTCCAATGCTTGTCCTACAGTGCCACACCAGGACTCCAAGGGAGTTGTATACAATCCTTTATCTTCTAATTGGTTTATCACATCAGATCATATCATGGGGAATGAATACCTTCTTGTACAACAACCGGACCACTGAGAACCATTGCCAGCCAAGTAGACACATTTTGGGGGCAGGCAGGGGGAGCATAGTCAATCTGTGACACTTCCTTTAGTTCTGTCTCTCTGCTTTTCCGCTGACTGTAGGAACTCTCAGCCTGCTTGCTCATAGGTCCGCTTTCCTATTTTGCTGGGAGCTATTATCCAGCTTCATGAATCTTTTCTGAAACCAAATAAACCCTAAAAAACTTACCTTGTCAGAATGTCCCCTCAGCTGGACTGTCCCCTCTCCTGACCAGGTGCTGAAGGCATGCGCATCTGCTCCTGTGGTCATCGAGGTACTCTTCAACTCATACCCTCAACTCCAGGTATCCAGGTCCTGGAAGGGGGTCATTCCTGAGGAAGACCTTCAGGTGAGCAAACTGTCCCCTCTCTCCCCCAGAAGCACAAAACATTGGCCTGTTTCTGCTTACCCATGTGTGGAGTTTTGTACTAACACCCAAGTAAGCTGGAAGCATCCAAGAAGAAGGGAAGAGAAGGAGAAAGGAAGCCTCTATTTGCATGCTTCTAGGGTTTTTGCTTTTGTTGTTATTGTTAGGTGCCGCCAAGTCAGTTCCGACTCAGAGCGTCCTCACTGACAACAGAAGGAAGCAGCTCTGGGTCCTGAGATAGTCTCACAGTTGTACTTGAACCCATTGCTGCAGCTTGCCGTCAAGCCAACTCCTTGAGGGTCTTCCTGTTTTTCACCGACCCTCCTCTGGTTTTCTTCTGAAAGCTCAGGAATTCACACAGCCAAGATGAGCCTGTTGTTCTCCCAAGGGTCTGCTGGCTACAAAGAGCAGAAAACCAACCAGGCTGGCTGAGGACTATGAGGGGTGCAGAGAAGGAATGGCATGGAATCCACCTGCTCCAAAGATCTGGCTCCATTCTGGGAGACGCTGGTCTAGTCTTTGTGTGGGCTTCATCCAACAGGGGCAGCTACAGAGGTCACAACTATAGGCATCCAACAAAGAAGGACGTTTTTCTCCACAACTCTCTAAAAATGTCCTCATCGTGTTTCGTTGGAATGGAGTCCTGTATACATTGTTGCTGTTGTTGTTAACTGCCATCAAGTTCCCTGCAACTCATGGAGCAGAGCGCTGTCCAGTCCTGAACCATCTCCCTGATCCATTGTGGATCACACCCTTGTGACCGTAGGGTTTTCACTGGCTGATTTTCACAAGTAGATCTCCAGGCCTTTCTTCCTCATCCTTCTCAGGCTAGAAGCTCCACTGAGACCTGGTCAACATCACAGCAAGACACAATTGTCACGGACAGACGGATGGAAGCTAAGCATGAGGTATATTGGCCTGGAATCGAACCTGGGTCTCCCGCATGTCGGGCGAGACTTCTCACTGAGCTACCGGAGTCTCATTGTGTGCATACTACTGCATACCAAAGCAACACCAGATGCTGGTTAGCTTGAGCTGGGCTCCTGGGTCTGTCACTGACAAAAGGGAAGGTCTCCCATGACAGCTGTAGACTCGGGAGATCTACCCATACTTGGGACATGTCACCAGAATTGACCGGTTCCTGGGGAAGGACCTCATGATTGGTAAAGTGGAGGCTCAATGAAAAAGGAAGCCCCTTGGGGGCATGGATTGGCACAGTGGCAGTAACAGTGGGTTGAGACACAGAAACGATTGTGAGGGCAACGCAGGACTGGGCAGGGTTTCCTTCTGTTGACTGTAGGGGTGCTGTGAATCAAAACCAACTCAACACCACCTAACAACCACAACCCTGGGGGTGCAGGTGGGGTGGACAAGTTGAAGGTGCCCCCAATGGAGCTCCCTCTTAGTGCTTCATACATGATGACACTTCTCAGTGCTGGTATCTGGTCTCAGGAGTCCCTGACAGCACAGACAGTTTGGCACTTGACTCCTAACCAAATTTTTGGAGACCCTAACCCACCCAGAGGTGCTACCTCAGAACAAATGCTTGGTGATGGGCTCCTGAAACGCACAACCCATGAAAACCCACAGTTCTCCTCTGACACACATGGGCCACCTTGAGTCTGAATAGACTCGGCTGTGACCTGATCTGAGTCACAGAAAGGGTCTCCCAGGAGGGAAGGACGTCTGTCCATGAGCCCTGACTCACACTCTTCCTGCCTCCCTTTCCAGATGCACCAACCTTTCTATCAGTCCCTGTTCGCCCTGGCCAGCACCCCACGCTGTCTGCAGCATCTCTGCCGGGGCGCCCTCCGGAAGCTGTTTGGCAAGAAGTGTTTCCACCTCATCCCCCTGCTGCCCCTGCCAAAGTCTCTGCAGGACTATCTGCTCCTGGAGCCAGAGGGCATCTTGCATTGAAAGACAGAGCCTGAGGACTGAGGCTGCTGTCCCCATCTCTGTCCTACCCTGGGGAGGATGGGGGCAGGCCTGAGCACGATCCCTCTGCTCCCCACTGCCTGGCACACACGGACCACGCCAAGCTTCTGGTTCACCCTGAGATGAAATTTGTATTAAGCACTCTTTCTACCTTTCAGGGTTGCTTGTGTGGGGACCCCTTGAAATCTTGAATACCGTAGTACAGGCATGCCTTGCTTCGCTGCTTCTCAGAGACGGTAATTTTTTTGTTGTTGTTGTAATAAATGGAAGGCTTGCCAAGCACATCTCCCGGCGGCATTTTTCCAGCAGCGGGTGCTCACTTCCTGTCTCTGTGTCACCTTTTTGGAAGAAACCCTGGTCACACAGTGGGTTAAATGTTGGCCTACTAACTGAAAGGTCGGTGGTTCAAATCCACTAGCCACTCTGAGGGACAACGATGTGGCAGTCTGCTTCTGTAAAAATGGAAAGCCTTGGGAACTCAGTGGGTAGCTCTGCTCTTCCCTGCAGGGTCTGAAGGAGTGAGAATCAACTCGAAAGGCTCTGGGTTTGGTTTCTTGTTTTGGTCCAATTGTGGTAACCTTCACAACATTCCAGACCTTTTCACCACACCATCGCACATGTCCTAGATGACAATGCAGTGTCAACATCACTTCTCTTTGCACCAGGAAGCAAACAAACAGAAAAACAACACCACGCAGGTGAGTGGCTTTATTGCTGTGGTCTGGACCTGAACCCACAATCTCTCCAAGGTCTGTATGTCCGTGTATACGGCAAGTAGAACGAAAGCACACACATATTTCCCCCAGTTCCATCCCCTGCCCCCAGTGAGTTGGCAGCACACATGCTGGTACCTCAGATCCAAATCACTGGGAGGCTTCACCTTCAGAAGAAGACAGTGGAGTCTGTCTCCTGAGTCCCATCCTGAGAAGGACATTGAGGGCTGAGAGTCTGGGTGAGGTCCTATCAATCCCAGCTGAGCCACACCAGGCAGGAGGCCAGGGACATGCACAACCTCATGTTGTGACACTCAACCTGAGTGTCATGTCAGAGAGCTGCCCGGAAGGCTGAGGACACTGTGGTCACCCTCCGGAGAAGTGACCCCTCTGGGCCATGTGCAGGATGTTGCTGGGGGAACCTTGGGGCAGGGGGGTTGCCCTGCTGGGGGTCCAAGTTGGAAGGAGACTTGAGACTGTGAGTGAAGCCTATGGTGAGGACAGAAGAGGGTGAGCAAGTCTAGTTGTACACCTAGGCTTTACAAAGTTTAAGGGGGAAAATGGGATTAAAAGATAACGGAATGTTTCCACGTGTTTTAAATCCCCCTGGAATATGGAAAGAGGTAGCTGGGCTCAGTGAGTCCACCAAGGGAGTGATTGGACAGCATCCTCCCAGTTCCTGCCACTAACTGCCCACTTACATCCCACCCCTTGACACAAATGACCCTGTTCTACAAGTCAGGTTCAACACAGATTCATGGAAACCCATGTGCCTCACAGTAGAATGGAGCTCTAGGGTTTCCAACACCTGATCTCCCAGAAGTAGATCACCAAGCCTTTCTTGTGAGGTATCTCTAGGTAGATTCAAACCTCCAACCTTAAGTAGTTACTCCTGTTGTACAAACTAAAAGCTGAAACCAAACTTACTGCCAGCAAGTCAGGTCTAACTCAGCAACTCTGTATAGGGTTTCTGAGGCTATACATCTCTGTGGGAACAAAAGTCCCTTCTTTCTCCCAAGGAGTATCCAGTGGGTTTGAACTGCCAACCTTGTGGTAATCAGTCCAGTGCTTATCCTACAGCACCAACAGGCTCCCATGTTCTACAAAAGGGCTACTCTGACACACACACACACAACACCCCACACACATACAGAGCAGATGCCTCTCCCCAAGTCCTTCCTCCACAAGACATTCTGGGGTCACTATTGAATGGAAAGGAAAACTTGAAGGAAGGCAGGTGTGCAGAGCACGGGGCAAAACAGGGTCCTGGAACTTTGGAGGCTAGTAGGAGTTCAGGCTGGGCAGGGGGTGGAGACAGATTGGAAGGGTCTTGGCTTCCAGACCAAGGAATCTGGACTTCACAAGAGGCCGTGAAGCCGTTGATCAAGTATGGGCACAGAGGGACTCTAGGGCTCCTAGACTGCTTTGTCCTGGAAAGAGATGCACGCAGGACAATGGCCACACCATAGGGACAGGCTTTCCATACCCAGGTGTTGCACCAGGGCCCCTCCACTTAGCCAGGGAGGAAGCCTTGGCAAAGCTACTCCACAGACACCAGCTGTGGACTGCTTACCTGGAAGGTGAGCATACTCAAGTCTCTACTTTTTTACTCATGTCAACTGGAGAAACCGGCGCTAGCAGGGTGTGGATTTGGGGTGAGCCAGGAATCTGCATTTCTAGCAGACATGGGTGATCCCTGCCAGAGGTTCCCTGTGGTGCCCTGAGTGTTTTCTCTCCGTTCTTATTAGAAGACAACAACCACTGTGGTGATACTACTAAGGTGGTGAGCTGCCATCCAGTTGGGCCCTGGCTCATGGTGAGGCCCCGTCCATGCACAGCAGAACAAAACCCCGAGCCATCCCCATGCTGGCTTGCAGATCAGACTGCTGTGCTCTGGAGGGTTTCATTGGCTGCTTTCCTAGTCTGCCTTAGTCCTGAAGCTCTGTTCTGCATCACAACAACAAAAGCTTACAGATGTAGTGCCTTCACTGAGAATTGGAACCAAGTCTCCTGCATAGAAGGTGAGGTGCCTACCATTGAAATACCACTGCCCCCCTTGCAGTTCTGACTCCTAATGGCCCTGTGCACAACAGAAGGAGACCCTGCCCGGGGGTCCTGTGGCGTCCTCACTGTTGTTGAGCCCATTTGTTGCAGTAACTGCGTCCATCGGTCCATCTCGTTGAGAGTCTTCCTCTTTTTCACTCACCCTACAAAGCAGGACATCCTTCTCCAGGAACTGGTCTTTCTGGATAACGTTTCCAAAGTACGAGATATGATGTATCACCACCCTCACCTCACGGGAGCATTCTAGCAGTTCTTCCAAGACAGATTTGTTCTTTCTTCTGGAAGCCCATGGCATATTTAATACACTCCACCAACACTGCAATTCAAATGCGTCAGCTCTTCAGTTTTCCTGAGTCACCATCCAGTTTTGCATGTGAAATGATCAAAGTGGCATGTCTGTTTGCTTGCTTATTATCCCATTGTTATCATGACAAAGACTATTAAAAATGGAAGATAATAGCAATGTTCTTTGCAAGAACAAATAACAGGATGGAGACATTCCGAGCTGCAGAAGCCAGTAAGAAGCCAGTCTTTGCTGAGTTCTGCAAATGAGCATGAGGGCACATTTGCTTTAGACAACTGTGTCCTTCAGCCATCTCCATTATAGGGTACTGTTGGGTTAGATCTCCAAGATGCATTGAACTTTACGTTCTGAAGAGATCCAAAACACAGCAGAGCTCTTTAGAGCTCATGTTGACTTGATGCTTCTAAAAATCTAATAACAGTCATTAGGTTCCCCAAAACAATTTTTCTTTTACATCCTACAAGAGCAACACATATCGCACAGTGAACCCCGAGTCTCTCTCTAAAATTGCACCATTTTGAAGGTATTTGTACGTTTTCATTATTTTCACTTTTCAGATGTGCATGCTGCCAGAAAGAGCTAATACAGGAAGTTGCTTAGTGATAAACCAGGTATTTCTACATCCGGTCCTGTTCCTTCATCTAGCAAGCCCTTGCTGAGTGGGGCTAAGGCTTCCCAATGAACAAGAGACACATGATCACTGTCCTCCTCACACAGCCCTGAGCAAGAGAGTAAAGAGAACATGTCAGAGAGGGACACATCAGGGAGCGCTGGACAGGGAAGGTCAGGCTTCCTGACATCTTACCTCCTTAAAGCGCAGACTGATAGCACAGATTTTGATCTTTTGCAAAGAACTCTTAACCACCTAAAGAAATACAAGTTTGGAGAATGAGCTGGTGAGCTTCAGCAACCTAGCCACACACCTGGACCACACGAGGCATCTAAGATGCATTGCAGGTATTATCAGCTCACTGAGAGCTTCTCATCTTTTAAGGGCTGCCCCAGGGCCAAGTAATAATCAAGGACTACAGGAGTTCTGGTAGCGTAGTGGTTACAAATTGGGCTGCGAACCTTAAGGTCAGCGGTTCGAAACTACCAGCCGCTCCTCAGGAGAAAGATGAGGCTTTCTACTCCCGTAAAGATTTACACCCTCGGAAACCCTGTACAGGGTCACTATGGGTTGGAACCAACTCGATGGCACTTAACAACAACATCGCAGGGATAGTCCTTGTTTAAATACCTTGTTTAAGGTGTTTTCAATAACCTCATATGCATGGGAAAGTTGGACAGTGAATAAGGAAGACTGTAGAAGAATTGATGCTTTTGAGTTATGGTGTTGGAGGAAAACTTTGAAAGTGCCATGGGTTGCCAAAAGAACCAACAGATCTTTGTTGGATGAGGTACAGCCAGAGTGCTCCTTGGAGGCCAGGATGGCAAACTTCATCTCTCATACTTCAGACATATTGTCAGGAGGGACTAGTCACTGGAGAAGGATATCATGTTTGGTAAGGTCGAGGGTCAGAGAAAAAGAGGAAGACCCCCAGTGAGATGGATTGGCAAAGTGGCAGCATCAATGGGCTCAAGTGTGACAACAATTGTGAGGTTGGCCCAGGACTGGGCAGTGTTTCGTTCTGTTGTGCATCAGGTCACTATGAGTCGGAATCGACTTGATGGTACCTAACACCACCAACATCACAAGGATAAAATCTTTCCTAGTTAAATTTGCTATGCACAGTTGTAATGTTTTGAAGCCCCAAGGTTTCAGGTCCAATGAATAATATGTGGACTGTCTGGATTTAAGTAAAGTTTGGGAGCATCAAACTACTTTTCAAGCTCTGTGGTTTGCCTTATAACCAACACCTTTCTACTAGAAAACAACAGTAATAATTAGGTGCCATCAA